ACTTGGGTTCAAACAAAACGAAATCAGACAAACTGACATTTTAATGACATGGCACCGTTTTAGCCGTTAAAAAGTTGTAGATGAGAGTATAGAGGAACTATTAATATGTGTCAAGGGAACCAAGTTCCCTGACAGATTTTGTAAAAGTGAATTTCATACTTTGACCAACGTGCAATACCATTAGCTACTTCTTTGCTATGTAATCCTTATGCATGTCTACCTGTAATGGTATAGAGATGAGTTAGAAATTACCAGAAAAATACTTTTTAGCCATTTTACCTGTTCATTTCTTTCATAGTCAATCATCGAGGGACCGAGTCCTTAGCTTGATTTTATCAACCCTAGTACCAAGCGATTGTTTTCAAAGTTCTCTCTGCTCAGTGCTTTGGTGAAGATATATGCAATTTGATCTTTTGTGCTGCAAAATTTCATACAGATAAGCCCTTTTTCAACATTGTCTTTGAGGAAGTGATATCGCACATCAATGTGCTTTGTTCTCTTATGTTGAACTGGATTCTTGACCATGTTGAGAGCACTAGTGTTGTCACATAGTAAGGGCATGCAATCAGAAAACACACCAAAATCTTCCAGCTACTGCTTAATCCATAGCATGAGCACAACAAGAGGTAGCCGCCACATATTCAGCTTCTGCAGTTGAAAGAGCCACTGAGTTTTGTTTTCTTGTACCCCATGAGATTAGACATGAACCTATAAAAGGTGCCATGCCAGAAGTGATTTTCCTGTCCACCAGATAACCAGCATAATCAGCATCAGCATACCTGATTAAATCAAAATTATCTCCTGAGGGATAGTAAAAGAACCAGATCCTACGTTCCTTTGAGATACCTTAGGATTCTCTTGGTAACCTTCAGATGAGATTCCTTTGGATTAGATTGAAGCTTGGAACAAAGTCCTACACTGAAAATAATACCTGGTCTACTTGTTGTGAGATAGAGGAGTGACCTGATGATACCTTTATACATGGTCTTATTTACAGGAGAACCAGGTTCATCTATATCCAGACGAGTAGTAGTGTCAATGGGAGTATCAATGATTTTTTAGCCTTCCATTTCAAATCTCTTCAGAAGCTCTTTGATGTACTTCTGCTGACTAATCATTGTCCCCTTAGGAGTTTGCTTGACTTGTAAACCGAAGAAAAAATTCATTTTCCCCATCATGCTCATTTCAAACTCACTTCCCATGAGTTTTGCAAATTCCTCATACAAAGAATCATTTGTTGCTTCGAAGATGATATCATCAACATAGACTTGCACAATGAGCAGGTTCCTCCTTCGTTTCTTCATAAATAAGGTATTGTCAATTTTTCCTCTTGCAAAGCCATTTTCTAGAAGCAATTTGGACAACCTTTCATACCAAGCATGAGAAGCCTGCTTTAGCTGACTTGTCGAGTTTAAAAACATGCTCAAGATGCTCATGACACTCAAATCCAGGTGGTTGCTTGATGAAGACTTCTTCTTTTAGAAAACCATTCAGAAAGGCACTTTTGACATCCATTTAAAACAATTTGAATTCCATATGAGATACAAAGGCAATGAGGATTCTGATGGACTCCATTCGAGTAACTGGAGCAAAGGTTTCATCATAGTCAATCCCTTCTTCCTGATTATAGCCTTGAGCTACTAGCCTTGCCTTGTTCCTTGTTGTGTTTCCAAACTCATCAAGTTTGTTTCTGAATACCCACTTGGTTCCTATAACAGTTCTATCGACAGGTCAAGGAATCAGGTGCCATACATTGTTCCTCTCAAATTGATGGAGTTCTTATTGCATAGCCGTAATCTAATTAGCATCTTTCAATGCTTTTTTGTTATGTTTGGGTTCAATTTTAGAATGAAAGGCTGAAAAGGCAAGTGAATTTCTTAATTTTGATCTGGTTAGAATCCCTGAGATAAGAGGAGTGCACATTTTCAAAAATGTGTGAACTTTTGTGCTTCTAGTTAGACACCTGAATCTCATTGTGAGAGGGTCTAGGTATTTCTGAATGTGATCCTTGGTTGTCGTGAGTTTCGCTTCTCAGCTCAGCATGTGGGGTGCCTTGGACAGCATCGACAACTCTGTTCTCAGCTTCATTTGTTGTGATTGAGGAACAAGGTTCCTCCCCATCAATTGGAGATATGGCTGCACCATCATCATTTGATTCCTTGACGTGACTCATCATGTCAGCCTTTCCATTTGCCATGTCAATGACTTCACCAGGGACAGTTGATTGTTCTCCGTCTTGATAAATATTATCATGTGAATCTTTCCCACATGGGTGATGAGATTCATCAAATATCAAATGTATAATTTCTTCAACACATTCAGTTCTTTTGTTGTATACTTTGTAGGTTTTGCTTTGTGATGAATAGCCTAGAAAGAATCCTTCATCACTTTTGGCATCGAATTTTCCAAGTGCGTCCTTGCCATTGTTGAGGATAAAACATTTACAGCCAAATGTCCTTAAATGTGTTAGCTTGGGCTTCCTCCCGTCCAGCAGTTCATATGGGGTTTTGTTCAGAAGGGACCTGATCATGCACATGTTCACCAAGTAGCATGCAGTGTTAACTGCTTCTACCTAGAAACTTTTTGCAATGCCACTGCCAATCAACATTGTTCTTGCCATGTCTTCAAGAGTCCTATTCTTCCTCTCCACATCACCATTTTGTTGAGGTGTTCTTGAAGTTGAAAAATTATGAGTAATGCCATTTTTAGCACATAATTTGTCGAATTTGGCATTGTCAAATTCTGTGTCGTGATCAGACCTTATACATACAACACTATGGCTCATCTTCACCTGGATCTTCTTCACAAATGTAGCAAATATTTGAAAAGTTTCATCCTTGGTTCTGAGATACAGAGTCCAGGTGATTCTGGAATAGTCGTCCACTATAATAAAGATGTACTTCTTTCCTCCTCTACTTGGCACCTTCATAGGTCCACATAGATCTATATGGAGGAGATCAAGTGGCCTTGAGGTACTAAATTCTTTTTTGGGCTTGAAAGAGGATCTTACTAGCTTTCCTTTTACACATGCATCACATACCTTGTGATCCTTGAAGCTTGACTTGGGTAGGCCACGAACCAGGTCCTTCTTGACCAATTTGTTCAGCAATGTAAAGCTTGCATGACCCAGTCTTTCAGCTATAGTTCAACATCATCATCAACAACACTCATACATTTTAGATCCCATTTTGCAAGCACTCAAAAGCAACAACATAAATATTTTTGTATCTTTTAGCCACCAGAACAACTTTACCAGTCACAAGATTTGTGATCGTGCATATTTTTGACACAAATTCCCCTTTGTTTCTCTTTTCACAAATTTGGGAAACACTCAGTAAGTTGTAATTCAACCCGCTCACATATACAGATTTTCAATTGAGTGAGTGAGAGACTTCCCAATCCTTCCAACTTTCAGAATGTATCCCTTTTGCCATTTTTAAAGGACACACTCCCTCCTTGCAAGGCCTTGGAAATAATTTGTACTTCTAGTCATGTGCTTTGAGAAGCCACTATCCATGTATCATTATTGGTTTCTCCCTTTCACTGCTCCCTGCATAAGGAAATCATAGGTTAGACTTAGGAACCCAAACAAGTTTGGGTTCCTTGTAGTGAGGAAAGGGGTGAATCAAGATTCTTTTGGTCCAAGCATGAATCGATTTTATATGCGGGACCAGGTTCTTTAGTAGTAGTTACCTTTTTAGCAAAATCTTTGTTTTTCTGTTGAGACTGAATTCTGGCCTTACAGGTTTCTTTAAAATGTCCAGTGTCACAGTGAGTGCAGAGCCAGTTATCAGGGACAGTAACATACATGCTATGAGGGTTGTAAGGAGTCTTTTCCCTTTGGAACCCAATTCCTTGCTCGTTACCCCCATTGTTCTTATACATGGCAGTGATAGCATCAGAGAACCAAATCCACTTAAGTGATTTTTCTAGATCACTCTTAACTCTTCCTAGATCTTTCTAAAGTTGTTTGTGTCTCTCAAGTTCAGCACACAGACTAGATTTCACTGATTTTAGCTCATATTCAAGCCTAAGTTGTGCCTCATTTGCAACGTCCTTCCCCTTTTGAGTGATCTCACGCCTACATTCTCCTTTTAGTTCCTTAATTGTTTCTTTTAGGTCCATAACTACTAATAATAAGTCATTTCTCACCTGCTCTATGTTAGCAATCTTTTCAGTTAAACCTTCTTTCTCCTTTTTAAAACACTTAATGGTCTCTTTTTGATCGACCACAACAACCACTAAATCATCTCTCTCATGTTCTATGTTTGCAATTTTTTTAGTTAAGGCATCTTTTTTCTTTCTTCAAACTCTCAATGGTTTCTCTTAAATCAACAACAACAACTACTAGATCATATCTCTCATGTTCTACTTCTCCTAGTTCCACAGTTAATGCATTTTTATCATTTATAAGACTATGATAAGCATCAATTAAAACATTTGCCAAAGACAAAAGTTTATTCGGAGAGTAAGACTTTAAATTTTTTTGAACATCTAGAAAGTTCACCTCATCATCATCAGACATTGCCATTAGGGCAAAGATAGAGTCATATTCAATTGTTTCACTTTCTACCCCCATCATGGAGATGTCACCTTGTTCGTCATCCTCTCCTGATTCGCTGGAAGAGTCTCCCCATGCAACAAGAGCTTATTTCACAACGTTGTCAGTGGCATCTTTTCTCTTGAATCATTTGTCAGGAACCAGGTTCCTCTTGGATGCTTTGTCTGTGTTGTGTTTGTAGTGATCTTGCTTGAGGAGAGGGAAATCCTTGATTAAATATCTTGACTTCCCGCACTTATGACACAGGTCATAGCCTCTTGGCTTGTTGGAGCTGAGATTTTTTGGAATACCTCCATTTCTACGAACCATTTTCTGAAATCTCTTTGGTAGGTAAGCCATATCAGTATCCTCACCACCTAAGTCATTATTGTCTGTCTTGAGGACCAGGTTCTTCTCCTTTTTGGGCTCTTTTCTCTCATTATCATTCTTCTTCTTCATATCATAAGTTTTCAGATTGCCAATGTTCATCAATGGTCAGCTTCTGCAGATCCTTTGACCCTGTGATAACATTTACTTTGCTTTCCCAAGAACCAGGTAATACACTAAGTATTTTCCTGACAAGTTTGTTCCTGGGAATGATTTCTCCCAGATAGTGAAGCTCATTGATAGAGGTGAAGCAAGTGTGTGTATCCTGAATGGACTCATCATCCTTCATCCTGAAAAGATCATACTTTATGGTTAGCATATCAATCTTCGACTGCTTGACTTGAGTTGTCCCTTCATAAGCTGTTTGGAGAGCTTCTCAGATCTCCTTAGCAGATTGACATGCTAAAATTCTGTTATATTCATCTGGTCTAATACCACATATAAGGATTTTTTTGCTCGAAAGTTCTTCTCTATTAGCCGTGTGGTCAGCATCGTTGTATTCCTTTCTTGTTTTGGGAACTATCACGACTAGGTCACCAATGGTCTTCGTAGGAATGAAGGGTCCATCATAGATAACATCCCAAAGCTCTGAATATTCAACCATGATAAATCATGCATCCTTATCTTCCACCATCCATAGTATTGGTCGTTGAATCTTGGTGGTCTGTAGGTAGATTGACCTTCTTCAAGGTTTGGTGGAGCAACCATGAGGATCCTTTCTAGGTGTTAGCCTAATATAAAGAACCTGCTCTGATACCAATTGATAGGAACTAAGGGTCTACCAAACTATATAGAGAACATGGTTATCTATTATTTCCCACAGAATGCACACAGAGAGCAATAAGTAAATGACACAATAGAGTTTTACGTGGAAAACTCCCAGCTCACGAGATTAAAAACCACGACCAACCTGTCGCGCCCCCTTTTTCCCTCTGCGGAGAGGGGTCCGGTTTTCGACATTCATGTGGTGTAATGACTCATTTCCTTTTGGGAATTGGGTATTTTATTTTTGAAGAGTTGCCACCTAACGATTTTTAAGGTGCGTTAGGGCACCTACAGGGTTTATCTACAACTACGTTTTGATAACCAGAGATAGGGTAAGGGCTGGAAATTATCCTAAGGAGAAGGTGTTAGGCACCCCTCAGGATCCACTAGTATGGTTCCCGACCAGATAGTTTTGTGAATTTGTGCAATTAGCAAACAAACAAGTAGGGCTCAAATAATAGGGGATTTAAACACACATGCAATTGAAAACAATTAATAAAAGCAGGGTTTTGAAAAAGAGTTATAATCTAAGCATGCTTATGAATGTAAAGGGGTCCTAGGTTTGTTTGTAATATGGATCAAAGCAATGCAATACCCGGTATGACACTCTTTAGAAGAGGGTATACATATGGTATTAGTGCACCGGTCATCATATCCATATCTACTCTTCCCACCCCATGAAGGTAATTAAAGCGAGGGTTGGTCTCGACCACTATTGCATGCTGTTACCCGTCCCTTCCTATCAGTCCCGGGGGAATTTTAGGACTCCTATTCCTATAAGAAGGAGGTTCTAGGCAGACCCTCAGGTTTAAAGGCAAAAATTCTAAAGTGGCATACAAAACATGTAAGACTGCAATTAGGGGGAAACATATAAGCAAATAGAAGGCTCATTTATACCTCCGCAAATAGTGCACGTAGGCAGCATGACTTATACACAATTAAGGTCTGAATTTATAATCCTAAAGTAGGGTGTTTAAGTCAGAACAAGATTTATCACATGACATAGTTATTCAGAATTGCTAAGACAGTTTGGAGCTTATTATTACCTAAGACATGTTGTTCTAGTTGCAGATATTATTACCAGTTATTCAGAAACTTCACAATGTGAAAACTATTACCTTATTACCTTTTTCATGAATCAGTAATTAATTAGGCGTTTTAAACAAAATGCAAATAGGATCCTAGAACATGATATCTAATATGCACATGCAGATGGTAGAGTTCCTAAGGCATGATTTTTAAATATACGAAAGAGTTGCAGAATTATTAAGAAACGACTTCATGAGTAACAATTTTTATTTATTCGTCCTAGAGGCAGGATTTCTAAGTGTTGGACATGAAACATGGATTAATCAATGAGATGCTGAAGCATGAAACATGAATCCTAAGAACATGATTTCTAATGCATTGTATGAGTCCTAAACATGATTTCTATTGCACAACTTGGAATATAAACCTAATAACATATTTTCTACCCTTTAGCTATAGCATGCATATTTCCCTATCCCTTTTCACTAACCACCCCAATATTTGTTTACAAATTATTACAGACCATGTGATTGAATTACATAAGAAAAATGCAAAAATAAGAAGTTACAACCATAGGAAGCATGATCCTAACTTCCTCTCTGAGTTATGTGATAAACCACCTTAAAAGCCAATATTGTTCCAAAACCTTTCTCATATCTGGGTATGTCAGAGTTCCCTAAGGACCTCAAGGGATCCCAGGCAGTGCTCACACCCAGATTGCATAACCAAGAATAGGTGCAGTGTGGAAGGGCAAACTCTTATATGTCCAGGTTCAGAGGAAGCTCAAGGGTCCCAAAGGAAGGCTCATACAAGAGGGGCAGAACCTAATGATCTAAGAGTGCATGTGAGAGTGCTGGACATAGACTCAAAGGAGTTGAGTTGGAAAATAATATTAGTAACAACATGTTTGAAATGAATTTGTAAAACAGCAGAAGAATTTCCTAATAAAATAGTTTTTGAAAGGGAAAGGGGGTAGGAGCAACAACAACACACACAGAACAAGTTCAGAGAGAATTACATGTTTCAGTAATTACAAACAGGGGAGTAGGGGTTGGGGACATAGAGGACCCAAATCAGAAACACACAATTAGTCATGAATTAGGTACATTATAGACAATCTAGTTGAAGGACATAAATAGGAACAAGTAAATATGTTGATCACATTTGAACAAAGGAGGGCCGAATTTTAAGCATGTTGTGTAAAGTAATAAACAAACAATACAACTCAATAGCATGAGCCATTAAGTTAGTGCAGAAAGAGACAAGGATTGACAAACAAGGGAACGCATAGAGTTGAGTTTCAGAATTTAAATTAAGAACATACCAGTTGAAGGAGCAATGTGCAGAAAAAGTAAAGCAATCAGAATTCCAAAGTCTAGCCTTGGCTTTCAGCCGGCTAGACAAGGCAGTAGCACAAGTAGTAGAGAAAGAAAGAGAGTTTGAATGTGTAAGTGCGTGTTTTTGAACGCAGTTGTTCGTGTCCTTTTGAGAAGAGAAGGTAGGGTATTTATAGCTTTGAAAATGAGTAGAAAATAAGGTAACAAGTAAAGTTTAGCACAAATATGGAAGTAATCACAATCAGAATCAATTAATACAAGTACTTCCCTTTAATCAAGGAATTAATGCTTAACGGATACTAACAGGGATAATTAAGGAAAGAAAATCAATTTGAGAAAGATTGATTTCTAACCATATAAGGGATAGTAAGAATATAGAGTATATAATTGAGTCTAGGTACAGAATATACTTAATTGGGGAAGGGATTCAGCAGGGGTGAAACATCACAGCAAATAAAGGAAGGGAATCGATCAATTTAAACAAATGAGTAAAATTAAGGGTTTATAAGAAAACCCTTGTAATCAGTCGTAACTTGAGGAAATCAAGATCAATCAAGAAAGAATCATGATTCTGCACTTCGCCATATAATAGAGAAGAATGAATAAGAATATCAGACATGCAAGGCCAACCATATTGACAAAGAAAGCAACTAGATGAACACAAACATAAAACAATAATAGGAGTAGGCTAGGACTCAGCAGTAAAGGACCTACTCGAAGCATGGTAGTCAACAAAGTCAAGTAGTCACATAGAACCAAAAATGAAGGAAACAGACTAACACATAGCAACAGGTAGAGGAGATCAGACCAACACACCAAAATAAGTAAAGGAAGTCTTCAAAAGCTCATAGCAACAGGTGAGGAAAGTTTTAAGAAATTAAGGTTTTAACAGAGCTGAGTTAAAAAAAGGTAAGAACTCAGAATCAGTCAAGTTAAACAAAAAAAAGTATCTAAACACAAAGAACTCAGTCGAAACAAGTATACAAAATAAAAGATGATTTCAAAACCCCGGATAAAACCACAGATACTTAGGGTTTTAACACGATGAACTAGGTAGAAGAAAAACACAAACAAATTGTTTAAACATAGTAAAATCATAAAATAACACTGAAAATCGGAGAAGAGATCTTTTAAAAGAGATTAAGAAAACCCTAATCATTGAAAATTAAGAATCGTTTTGACAAAATCGGAAAACCTTTAAGGAAAACACTTAAGAGGTTCATAACAAACACAGATCTAAGACAGACCTGAAAGAAAATCGGAAAGCCCTTTAAAGTTAGGGTTTCGGAGAACCCAGAAAAATGGGAAAGACTTTGAAAAGTTAGCGATCTAGCCGGAAAAGCCGTGGATCTGACCCATAGATAGAAATTGAGCAAAGACTGGATTATATCTCTTTGTGATCCTTCCATGAAATCACGAAACAGGCAACCGGGAGACATAGGAGACCGGTACACGTCTCAAACAGTTATGGGAGTCCATGGATTGGGTGAGAATCGAAGGGGATTAAGGTTAGTTTGGGTGGCGGCGGCTAGGGTTTGAGTGGGGTTGTAGAGAGAATTGGAGAGGAAGGGGATTCAAGGTCAGCGGTTTGGTGGAAATGAAGTAGGTTAAGGGGTCGTTTGGGTTTAATTATGGAAGGGTGAATAGGAATCGTTGATCTGAATGATCAACGGTCTAGAATAAACGGGGTAGGTAGGAATCCGGGTTTAGGTAGGGTTTAAAAGGGTTAGAGTCGGGTTTAAATCAAAATTGGGCTGGGGAATTGGGGTCCCATTTTGGTTATAATTGAAATGCAAAAGGGGTTGTTATTTAAATAGCCAGTTTTCCCTTTTTAATTTATAAAAAATAGTAAACAGTTTCTGAAAAATAAATTAAAGTACTTAAATTATTTATAACACATAATTAATAATATAAAAATACAGTACCCATTTTATGAATATAAAACCTAATTAAACCTTAAAAGGCTAATATTGCAATTATGTGCAATTTAGCTTTAAAAATACTAAATGAAATTGTAAGAATATGTAAAAATTACTTTAGCTATATTTTAGCATAAATATAAAATCCAATAGATGAATTATCAAAATAATAATTTTAGAAATAATTATTGGGGATTTTATGGATAAAAAGGGGGAAAATAAATCAATTTAAAAACCTTTAAAATTATGGAAAAATAATAAAACACTTGAACATGCTTATGTATGCATACATATGCTATTTTGAAGGTATTTTGCATATTGAAAAATATATAGGGAAAACTTGAGAATCAACACTACCCTTGTAAGATTTCAACTTCACTACTGAGCAAACTTTCAGATTACAAACTATTGTAACCTAGGAATTAACCTATTAATCCCTCACTAAATTGTGATAACTTTATCACAAGCCACTTTGTAATACTCTATTACAAAGTTTTACAACTCGACTAACTCTAGCTAAGACACAAACACAAGGTTTATGGTTTTACAACAGA